ATATGTATTCTTATGCTGATTTTGAGTAAGCTGCATAAGCGATACCTGACATTATATAACCATATCTTTAATATTTATTCCACTCAGGTATGAGCTCACGAGTGCAGTTTCTAAAGTAATACCAGTGCACAGTAGGCATTCTCATATTCAGTGAATGAATAAATGTACATAATTTATGATCTGAGGAATTGTTCCTTGTCAGAAAACCATGTGCACTTGGCAATTCAATGTCACCCTTATCAAATCACCCCCATTCCAACCATAGCTGCACAATTCTTACAGGTTGGAAGCCAGGCTGGAGGGTTTAGGAAGAGAGATTTAAGTGGAAGTAAAAAAAGGGATTAAAGCAGCTAGACTGGCAGGCAGGCTGTATTTACAGTGAAAAGCCCATACGCAACACAGTTGCCATTCAGCTCCATTTTGCCACACATTTCATATCTGTCGGATGGCAAAGGAAGGTGAAAAGAACAGAGAGTGACAGACAGGTACCGAGCAGGAAAGCCCCAGGCAACGGAAAGAAGTGTAATTAAATTACAGGGATCTAGTCTATGTGGGCCAGGACTTTAGACCTATCTCCTAAATAAAATAACTGAGACATCACGAAGGCACGGAAAGGCCAAAGAATAAGAAATACAGACTTTGCAGCAAATAAACAGCTTACCTGCTTTAGAACTTCAACTAAACTAAACAAAAAATGAATCTACTGCTAAGTCTCTCCTTTCGAGAAGGTAATCTCTTTCACGTTGGCTGTTCATCCCTGAAACAAGAACCCAAATCAGCACTGCATTATGACTGTAAGTCTTAAGACAGCTAATTCTAGTAGTTCATGTGCTTACTCTGTTCCTACAGGTGACAGTGTGCTATAGCGGATTTAGTATGAGGTCTGTAAATAATCCAATGCATATAATTACACGTTCTCATGTTTCTTTCTCTATTTATCATCAGGCGTTTATACACAATTCCATTATATATGTCAGTAATTAACCGAATCTAAAAGAATTAGTAAGAGAAAGAAGTTTCACTAGAAAATCTAGCATTGCTCCATATTTGACTACTAATTTTATATTAAGAACTGAACAAAAGTAATAAATCTCATAGATGAAATACAACGCAAGGTTAACCTTTTCACAAATCTACAGCTAGAACATCACAAGTGGCACTACTAAAGCCCAATAATTAAACCATGGGCAATCACCTGGCCCACAGGTAGATGTATATGTAATGCCAGGATCTCTCTGGGAGATGTGAGAGGAGGAGACAATTCTAGGATTTGAGCAGCAAATAGAGTATCACAGAACTAGGACAACACAGGGATTTCCCTGAAAGACGTACATTCATTATGTATCAGTAAAAAAAATACAAAATCTTTAGATTCAAAAAAATAATGAAATAATAATACAGGGTTTTGGCAATCTTCCTGTATCAATCGCAATTGCTTCCCTCATAACCACACACAGAGAACCTTCTTTGATATTAACTTCTTCCGTGACTATTAAAGCTCTCACTGAACTGCTGAAATGACACTCCTGAAACATCACTCTCTTGGACCTCCACCCAGTGACGAGTAATGCAGGACCACACTCGGGTTTCACTGGTCCTTCTCTTGTCTCAAGAGCTCCAAGTGTGATGATCGACCCTTGCCCCCTTCCTCCCATCCTTTGCCGTTAGGAACCAACAACACAATAATCCTCAGTGACGGCATCACCAGCACCGGGTCGCTGGAAGTGTTTCCAGTTCCAAGAAGAAAAACAGGTGGCAGACCGCCACTTACCCCTTGGACTTTGTGCTGGACCGAGGCCTGTACTCGTAGACTCGTCCTCAGCCCCGTTCTGGCGGCGGTACAGTCGAACGCGTGCGGAGTAAGGAAGGGAGACAGTGCTCTGCTACTGAGCTCATAGAGCTTATCAACTGGCACACAAGAGATCACACAAGGCAAACTGTCACATCGAAAGCGCCAACCACACCATTTTTTTTTTTTTAATCTATTACAAATGTCATGACATATTCATAAAGTAAAACTGGTTACAAAACAGGGAGGCAATCAATGTCAAATGGGCTTCTTGTAACAAAAAAGGCAGGGCTCATCTTCCAAGTTCACGGCACAAAATCATTTCTGACCACAGTTCTCAGGGATTTAAAGTACGAGAAGGAGAAATACAGTTGCTCTGAGAGCTAATCTTTGTCTTTCATTCTGATACCGTATTATTCCAACCTACTGTAACCTTTCCTCTGACCCTTCCTCCTCTTTTATTGTTGTCCTTATCCCATGATTCACATGCAACCGTCAAAGAAAAAATATGTCACCAAGAACATAGGTATACTTTATTTATCTAAAATCCTATATAGGGATTCCCCCCTCCCCAGTAAAAAGCAAGTCTTTTTAGCTTCTCTAAAATGAATAAAACTACTGAAAATGAAATAAAAATCAATAGAGCTTTCTGAAATATCATGACAAACTAACCCAGTTTTCTTCCATCAGAATGACACGGGGTTTAACAGATCCAGAGAGCAATCAATGTAATATATCTTGAATTTAATAGGACTTTTACTTTTGCTCCACATAAAATACCTATATTAAAATGGGATTCCATTTCATCTTGATGAGACGGACAGAACCCAGAGTATTGGAGTGTTGTTGATACGTGGTAGTTTCAGCCTTGAGCAGGAATAAATATTCCTTGTAGCTTAGTCCTTGACTTCCTATATATTATAAATTATTTGTTCCTTGAATAATTTGTTGTATCTTTAATAGCGATCACACGTGTTTAGAACTCTTCACAATATATGACGGACTTTATATCCTTTCTGCTGACTGACCATTGTAATAAACCCTGGGAGACAGTCACAGCAAGCGTTATTAATATCCCAGCCATCTTGCTTGCTGTGTAAGTTTGGGCAAGTTATTACTAACTCCTCCTCTATAAAAAAAGGATGATAACAGTGTCATTTTTGTAGAATCATGAGAATTAGATAAAATAATGCCTGGTGCATGGAAAAATCCTCAGTAAGTGTTATCTGTTATTTCTGTTTTACAGATGAAGAAATGTTCTCAATTATAGTGACTTGCTGAAGATCATAAAGTTCTTTCTTTCTTTTTTTTCCTCCAAGGTTTTTCCCTTTAATGATAAAAATAAATTCTCACTGGCAAAATCAGTGGTAAGAAATTAGGTGAAATTACCTTATAAAATGGAATGAAAGTTTTGTTTTGTTTGAGACAGAGTCTCACTCCGATGCCTGGGCTAGAGTGCCATAGAGTCAGCCTAGCTCACAGCAACCTCCAGCTCCTGGGCTCAAGCAATCCTCTTGCCTCAGCCTCCTGAGTAGATGGGACTCAGACATGTGCCACCATGCCCAGCTAATTTTTTTTTTCTGTATATTTTTAGTTGGCCAATTAATTTCTTTCTATTTTTAGTAGAGACGGGGTCTCGCTCTTGCTCAGGCTGGCCTCGAACTCCCTGAGCTCAAGTGATCCTCCCGCCTTGGCCTCCCAGAGTGCTGGGATTACAGGCGTGAGCCACCACGCTCGGACAATGACTGTAAATTGAATAACGGAAGAATGTTGGGCCTCAAATGGCCAAGCTATCTCTGAGGAAGAGTAAAGAGAGGACTTGAAACTCCCAGACATCTGAACTTATCATTAAGCTCTGAAAATTCAGATGGCATAGTTTGGGTACAGACATACATAAATTGATCGATGGAATAAAATAGCTCAAAAACAGACTCTTACATACATAGTTCTGCCTCTGTATCTTATGGGTTCTGTATCCATGGCCACAAACAACCTTGGATTGAAAAATCTCAAAAATAAATAAATAATCACAACACGACAATGAAAACCCATCAAGGAAAACTACAGTAGAACAACTATTTACATTGTATTAGGTACTATAGGTAATCTAGAGAGGATTTCAAGCATACAGGAAGATGTGTGTAGATTATATGCAAATAGTGTACCATTTTATATAAGGGACTTGAGCATGTACAGATTTGGGTATTCGTGGTGTGTCTTGGAACCAGCCCCCTCCCATATACCAAGGGACGACTGTAGAACTAGATTATACATCAGCAGTTACTTGCATACTGTTTGGCCCAAGAGTTCCTCTTATTGGACTCTTTCCCATGAAACCAACTGTTGAAGTATATATAACATGAAAGGTACAAGGTGTTTATTGTAGTGATATTTGAATATTGAAAATCTGGAGTGAAATGTTCACTACTGAGGAGCTCATTAAATTGTGATAAATGTTAATACATACTGAGTGTTATGTGTATGCTAAAAAGCATAAAGAGCTCTAAAACAGCTGACCCAAGGAAGCTGCCTCATTCTGTTAAGTAAAATAAGGCGAGGACACGTGCACGTGTTTGTAGGGTTGTGTAGGAAAAAGTCTGTGTATACACGAAGCTGTTAACAGTGATTATATGTGATAGAGCAACAGGGATTTTATTTACTGGTTTAAATATTTTGGTTTCTTTTATGTAATAGGAACCAGCATGTGCTTTTTTAAAAAAAAAATTAAAATGGGGATATTTAAATGACAGATTTCTAATAAACCTATAAATAGTTTGAAGTTGTTGGAAAAGATTGTATCCCTTTTGGTAGAAAATCAGACGTTATGGGATGCAGGGCTGGCTCATTGCAAAGGTTACTTTTCTGTAGGTGTTACATGGAGGTACATATAAACATCTTTTTAGCTTTCTGACAGTAACAATTACACTAACTACAACAGGAACAGCTACTGCATTTTCCCCTACAGAGTCCATAGTTTGGTGACTTATGATTATGAAGCTCATATTCTTAAATTTAGAATTGTATGAAATGTGATGAGTGACAAAATTCTTAAAGAAAATGAGATTCTCAGACAAAAGGAAGATCGACAGATTAGTAATAGATCACACTGTGAAAATTAAAATTGGTTATTTAATTAGTTGAAATGATGAGACTACTCATAAAAGACTAATAGCTTATTTACCTCTTACTTGATAATTCTTCTTTATTCTAGATTCCTGTTCATCCTGTACCCGATCCCTTAGTTCACGAAGTTCTAAACTTAGCTTTTAAGCACTTTAAACACAAGGAAGGGTAAGTAAAAATACTAACTTGGGATTGTTCAGTTTTTCTAAACCAATCCATTTAAATAGACCATTTAATCCATTAATTAGACCATTTAAATATAATTTAAATTCTTACTGATCATTTGTTTTTAGAGTTCAAAGCAATTATCTTCCCATTTCCTTTGAATCCATGCAAAAGGCTTAGAGGAAAGATTTTGTAAAAATAATTCTTAACACCATAGATTGGATTTATAAAAAAACCCTTGGGTTTAGTTTTTTTGGAAACTAAAATCTAGGGATGGAATAAAATGTATGTGGTTATGCAATACTCTGATAAGGAATTTTAAAATTTATGAAGAAAGAGTTTGTAGAAAAATTAAATGAAATTCTATGTTAATCATTTATTTTATTTTATTTTTTTAGTTATTCAGGAACCAACACTGGGAATGTTCATATTATTGCAGATTTATATGCGGAAAGTGCGAGAAGTTAGATTCATCTTAGGAAAAACCTCAGCAAATTTGTCGACATCCGGATAGAATCATACTTCCTCATCTACTTAGGCTACACTCATCAACTTACACATGTTTATTTACCATATCTTTATGCGATCAAGTATTACTAATAGACCATATCAATACCAACTAAGCCCAGCTGAAGGACCATGGTACAAGGGAGCCAGGTATTTGCTCTTGATTGTTATAGTGGCATAGGATAGATCTATATAATGGCAGACTTATATTCTATTCCCTTCAGGGAAATGATATTTCCAGTTCATGGGAATACAGATACGGTCACAGAACACTACTCTGTACCATCCTCAGAGGTTTCAGTTCTACTGTCATTCACCGGCTCGTGAGAAAATCCTGAGAGTAAAGTTCCAATAAACCGCCGACGTAACCTCTTCTATAACTACCTGAATATTCCCAGGAAGCTAACCGCGCTAGCCAACTCGAAGAAATGGTTGTAAAAGAAATCACCGCTTGAGCAAATACTGAGGGGTTGTCCACTCGTACATAAACTGAGCATGGAGGCGTGTGGACGGGCTAACCACAGCACCTAAGGGGTGGGTTGGCGTGGAGAGGGGGAGAGGGGGGAAAGCTGGGGTGCATTTGAATCTTGTCTGTGTGTTTTCTTAGATTCACAGTCACTGATTTATTTATTTATTTTTGAGACAGAGTCTCACTCTGTTGCCCGAGCCAGAGTCGTG